TCTATTCAAGGATTGGACTTTTTCCTGGTTTAGTCTTGGGAGGGTGTACAGTCCAGGAATTAATCCATTTCTTCTAGATTTTCTAGTTTATTTAGAAAGGTGTTTATAGTATTCTCTGATGGTAGTTTGTATGTCTGTGGGACCGGTGGTGATATCCCCTTTATCATTTTTAATTGTGTCTATTTGATTCTTTTCTCTTTTCTTCTTTATTAGTCTGGTTATCAGTCTATCTATTTTGTTAATCTTTTCAAAAAACCTAGCTCCTGAATTCATTGATTTTTTGAAGTTTTTTTGTGTCTCTGTCTCCGTCAGTTCTGCTCTAATCTAAGCTATTGCTTGTTTTCTGCTAACTTTTGAATTTGTTTGCCCTTGCTTCTCTAGTTCTTTTAATTGTGATGTTAAGGTGTCAATTTTAGATCTTTCCTACTTTTTCCTGAGGGCATTTAGTGCTATAAATTTTCCTCTAAATAGTGCTTTAGCCATGTCCCAGAGATTCTGATGCATTGTGTGTTTGTTCTCATTGGTTTCAAATAACTTATTTATTTCTGCCTTAATTTTGTTATTTACCGAGTAGTCATTCAGGAGCAGGTTGTTCAGTTTCCATGTAGTTGTGCAGTTTTGAGTGAATTTCTCAATTCTGAGTTCTAACGTCATTGCACTATGGTCTGAGAGACTGACTGTTATGATTTCTGTTCTTTTTCATTTGCTGAAGAAAGCTTTACTTCCAATTCTATGGTCAATTTTAGCATAAGTGTGATGTGATGCCAAGAAGGATGCATATTTTGTTGATTTGGAGTGGAGAGTTCTGTAGATGTCTATCAGGTCTGCTTGGTCCAGAGCTGAGTTCAAGTCCTGAATATCCTTTTAAATTTTCTGTCTCATTGATCTGTCTAATATTGACAGTAGGGTGTTAAAGTCTCTCACTATTATTGTGTGGGAATTCAAGTCTCTTTGTAGGTCTCTAAGAACTTGCTTTATGAATCTGGGTGCTCCTGTATTGGGTGCATATATATTTAGGATCGTTAGCTCTTCTTTTTGCATTGATCCCTTTACCATTATGTAATGCCCTTCTTTGTCTTTTTTGATCTTTGTTGGTTTAAAGTCTGTTTCATCAAAGATTAGGATTGAAACCTCTGCTTTTTTTTGCTTTCCATTTGCTTGGTAAATATTCCTCTGTCCCCTTATTTTGAGCCTGTGTGTGTCTTTGCATATGAGATGGGTCTCCTGAATACAGCACACCAATGGGTCTTGACTGTATCCAATTTGCCAGTCTGTGTATTTTAATTGGGACATTTAGCCCATTTACATTTAAGGTTGATATTATTATGTGTGAATTTGATCCTGTCATTATGATTTTATTTTAGCTGGTTATTTTGCATGTTAGTTGATGCAGTTTCCTCATAGTGTTGATGTTCTTTACAATTTGATGTGTTTTTGAAGTGGCTGGTACTGGTTTTTCCTTTCCATATTTAGTGCTTCCTTCAGGAGCTCTTGTAAGCCAGGCCTCTCAGCCTTTGCTTGTCTGTAAAGTATTTCATTTATCCTTCCCTTATAAAGCTTAGTTTGGCTGGATATGAAATTATGGATTGAAAATTCTTTTCTTTAAGAATGTTGAATATTGGCCCTCATTCTTTTCTGGCTTATAGGGTTTCTGCAGACAGACCTGCTGTGAGTCTGATGGGCTTCCTTTTGTGGGTAATCTGATCTTTTTCTCTGGCTGCCCTTAATATTTTTTCCTTCATTTCAACCTTAGTGAATCTGACAATTATGTGTCTTGGGGTTGCTCTTCTTGACGAATATCTTTGTGGTATTCTCTGTATTTCCTGAATTTGAATGTTGGCCTGTCTTGCTAGGTTGGGGAAGTTCTCCTGGATAGTATCCTGAAGAGTGTTTTCCAACTTGGTTCCATTCTCCCCATCACTTTCAGGTACACCATTCAAACGTAAGTTTGGTCTTTTCACATAGTCCCATGTTTCTTGGAGGCTTTGTTCATTCATTTTTATTCTTTTTTCTCTAATCTCATCTTCATGCTTTATTTCATTAAGTTGCTCTTGAATCTCTGGTATCCTTTCTTCTACTTGATCAATTTGGCTATTGATACTTGTGTATGCTTCATGAAGTTCTCGTGCTATGTTTTTCAGCTCCATCAGGTCATTCATGTGCACCTCTAAATGGGTTATTCTAGTTAGCAATTCCTCTAACCTCTTTTCAAAGTTCTTAGCTTCCTTGCATTGGTGTAGAACATGCTCCTTTAGCTTGGGGGAGTTTGTTATTACCCTCCTTCTGAAGCCTACTTCTGTCAATTTGTCAAACTCATTCTCTGTCCAGTTTTGTTCCCCTGCTGGCAAGGAGTTGTGATCCTTTGGAGGAGAAGAGGTATTCTGGTTTTGGGAATTTTCAGTCTTTTTGTGCTGGTATTTCCTTGTCTTCATGGATTTTTTTTTTTTTTGTGCTGGTATTTCCTTGTCTACCTTTGGTCATTGATGTTGGTGGCCTTTGGATGGGGTTTCTGTGTGTGGACATCCTTTTTGTTGACATTGATGCTATTGTTTTGTGTTTGTTAGTTTTCCTTCTAACAGGCCCCTCTCCTGCAGGTCTGCTGGAGTTTGCTGGAGGTCCACTCCAGATCCTGTTTGCCTGGGTATTGCCAGCAGAGGCTGCAGAACAGCAAAGATTGCTGCCTGTTCCTTTCTCTGGAAGCTTCGTCCCAGAAGGCACCCACCAGATGCCAGCTGGAGCTGTCATTTATGAGATGTCTATTAACTTCTGCTGGGAGGTGTCTCCCAGTCAGGAGGCATGGGGGTCAGGGACTCACATGAGGTGGCAGTCTATCCCTTAGCAGAGCTTGAGCGCTGTGCTGCGAGATTCACTGCTCTCTTCAGAGCCTGCAGGCAAAAATGTTTAAGTCTGCTGAAGCTGCGCCCACAGCTGCCCTTTCCCCCAGGTGCTGTGTCCCAGGGAGATGGAAGTTCTATCTATAAGCCATGACTGGGGCTGCTGCATTTCTTTCAGAGATGCCCTGCCCAGAGACAGCATCTAGAGAGCATCTCCTTTTAATAGAAGAAAGAATTGAAACACAGAAAGACTAAGAGCTAGCATTTACATGTTCACATATGCTACATGGGAATATTAAATCAGCATGAAGCTGGGACTAGACTCCCATATGTTAATAGTTATTCTTATATTTTGATACAACGTTTTACCTGAAAGGGGGCCTAAGAGATTCTTTGATCTTTTTCCCTCTGACAGAATTTAAGACCCAGAGAAGGTAACAGACATTCCTGGAGCCACACAGTACCTAACTGATGGCAAAATCAGCCTGCAACTGCCCTGCCCAATGGGTTAGACACTGGCCATATGTTGCTATCTAAATTTAAATTAATTAAAAGTAAATAAAGTTAAAAATTCATTTCCTCAAGTTGTACTAGCCACGTTCTATGTGTTCAATAGTCCACATGTATTTAATGGCTACCATATGGAATGGGACAGATGATAGATTTCACTACCTCTGCTTTGCTCTCCTTATGTGCTTATATTCCTGTCAGTAGCACAATATGCATGTGTTTCTCCGCTAGATATGACTCTGTGCTTTGGAACCAGTGCTCTGCATTTACCCATTCATCCTTGTCTTCGTTATGTGATAGGCCCAACATTGTCCTAGGCAACATGGAGCTCTTTGAAGACCTTGGTGATTACCTTAAAGAGCTAAGACCATCATTTCTGAAACAACAGCACAATTTAGAGTAAATTTGATAAACCCTTACGTATGTGTTGTTATGAAGAATTTATTATGAAGAATTTTCATATGCTATTCTCTCATTTGAGCTTCAGAATAATAAGATAAAATTTATACATTTTATGCATGAGAAACCTGGAGTCCTGCAAGTTCAGATAACCAACTTATATTCCTGTGTCAAGGCCTATATTAGATAATTAATGTATGTGTGGACACATAGGAGGAATTCAAAGCAAGACATATTACCAAGGAGAGAAATTTTATGATTTTCATTGTTGATGTCCTGGTCCAGGAAGGGCAATGATGAGTAAGTCATGAATGAAGCCTGGTCTCTGCCCTCTCAAGAGCTTATAATCCAATTGGGAAAGTAAGCCCGGTATATCAGTAGAATAAAGCATAAGTTAGCAACTAGTAAATGTCATGGTATTGTACAATTTTGCTCTTTGATGTAGGGTCATTAACTAACACGAGGCCTACCACATAGTAGGCTCTCAATAGACATTTGCACAGTAAGTTTTTGTGTGGATGCAGTCAATGCTTAGGTGCAGGCAAGGGAACAAGGCAATGTGTATAATAATCCACGATTTCGAAATGCTACTTCATCTATTTATGTAGTTGTCAATTACACTGACTTCTTTCATTGCTCGAGCTGTTTTTCTGATAGCAATTTTTATATAAACACAGCTTTACCTCAGGAAATTGTCTGGGACACCAGATTGCCAAGAAAGGCTAAAACTATTGTGGGTAACAACAAAGACAGTTTGCATTTAAAGTAAAAATAGGAATGATGGAATGATATGGGAGAACTAGTCACAGACAGCTTGCTGTTGGACGCAAAATGTAAGAGCCTTCTGGAAAATGTTTGGGAAGATAAGATTGCCACTTGATTTTAGGTATTTTTGTCACTTGACCTAATTGCTAGTGGAAGAAAAAACTGGTTTCTTAAAATATATATAAAAGCTTCTTGAATGAATCTCAGTATCCTAGAAAAAATCTGGACTGGGTATAAACAAACTTTCTCCTACAAATAATAATGTCAGTGTTTCATTAGGATCAATTCTTGTTTTTCGAATTTTGAGAACTTAAGAGTTTAGCAGGTCTATGTTTTATTCATCTTCATCATCCCAGTAGAGAATACATGAATTAGCAAGTAGACGAATTATATTTGGGAACATTTCTAATCTAATTCCAATCAGAAATAAATATATAATTGTTAATGGTTTGGCACTATGTTTTTAAAACACAAGTTTTTTTCTTTTCTTGCTCTGTTGCTCAGGCTGGAGTTCAGTGACTCAGTCATATCTCACTGCAGCCTCGAACTCCTTGCTTCAAGACGTCCTCCCACTTTGGCATCTTAAAGTGCTGGGATTCCAGGTGTGAGCCACCATGCCCTGCCAAACAGAAGCTCATGTTTTTGAGGGGAGAAGCCTAGAAGAAGATGTAACAGGCAGCAATCTCCTCAACCACTTGAGTGAAACCGGAAATAGTCTAAAACCTTGAAGCAGATGATGCTTAACTCACAGGTTTCTTTCACTTTCTGTTGTCCAGGTCCTGCCTTGGAAAGCAATTTATGCCTGATATCTTCACAGAAGCATCTACAATTTAATTAGGGCAGAGAGAGATCCTCTAGGGGATAATTCTCTAGTAGCCTAATTGTGAATACTGCCATCCTATCGTGTGTGAATTTCTGCAACAGCCTCCTAATAGGTTGCTCTGCCTCTAGGTCTTGTCCTCTGCCACTCATCTCTAATGCCACTCTACATACTAGCTCTCCATTGCTGGTAGAATAAAGTAGGCCTAGCATCATCTCACATCAACCTGCTTCTGAAACCTAATTTCTAACTTCACTCCAGATGATCCTCTCAGCTCAGTCCTTTGTAATTATATTCGTATTTAATGTTCTTTAACGCTTTGACCATCTTCCCTTCCTAAAATTGCATCCTCTGGTCCATGCATTGCCATGGCATATAATAAAATGAAATACTTGCTGAATGGATGGATGGATACATAGATTTCATCTTTGCTTTTCTTCCAACCTTAGCTCTTGTATAAAGCTTTTATTTAACTAACACATTTTGTATTTATTTAGCCTTGCTTTGAATCCTAGACTACTTTTCTCTGCCTATTATTTAGCACTCAGCATGTACTGACTTGTGTTGTTAATTATTAATTAATTAAATCGATGAGCATTGTTATGTTTCTGTAATGTACCAGGTACTGGACTGGGCACTGGAGACAGATACAAAGGAACTTCCTGTTTGTTGCAAAGTGCTTTCAGTGTAGAGGGGAACAGATGAGAAAATCACCAGTCACTGCTTTAAAAGATACACACAGAGAGTGTTGTGTGAGCTTGGGAAAAATCAAAAGGAGAGGGATTCAATAAAATTTAGGTTGAGGCTCAGGAAATACTCAGTTCCCAAGATCAAAATGCTTGATCTGAGAGGTGTTTCATTCATGTGTGTCTTCTTTCCAAGTCTATCTGGGCAGGGTTTTTTTTTTTTTTTTTTGCTTTTTTTGATTTGCCGAGAACCTCGCATCTAGTAACAATATTCATCCCTTAAATTTTTGAGTTGCTTTACCATGATTAAAGTGATTTCATACCCTTCTCTTAATTAGTTACCAAAAAATCCATCTGTTTTTTTGGATATCAGGACAAGTAAGACCACAGTACCCAAGAGCAGTATCCATTCAGTCTTACCTTCAGCATGCATTTAGAAGGAAGGTTTTCTGATGCCTGTAGAGAGGGCTCAATCCCACTGAGCAAGTTAAAGGAATGGGGTTATTTAGGGGAGACGGAGATCTTCTGGTCTGCCTTTATTAATGGCTCTGAGCTGAATCAGCTCCACCTTACATGATAGCTGATCCAGCCCTATTTTTGAAAGGGTAAGATTTGTTCCCCATGGGGCAGGTAGAAATGACATTTGGAGAAGCCAGCTTCAAGAAACATCTGGAGGTGTGAGGCCAGGTAAATGGTATAAGCAAGAGACATTCTTTTACAAATGCATCATAAGAATGTTATGACAGTGGTATTCCAGCTGCAGCAGAGAACTGGAGTCTTCCCAAGGGTAAGGAAAGAGGAGACATTTATGCTGACAAATAGAGGTCAGTATCAAAGACTCTTAAGTTTAAAAAGTTAAATTATGATGAGTTTTGGTGCGAGCTCTCATGCCAAAAGAACTTTTCCTTCTAAATGTCAGATTACTCCTCCTTTACTTCTGCTAGTGGAGTTTTCCTTATCCTCAGGAAAATAGTATATAAATATGGCAGAAATATGTTCCTGGGTCATAAGAGAAAGAAAAAAAATCTGCTTCAAGTTGCAGCACAGTGCAAGTTTGTAATCCCTGAATTTTTCTCCAGCTCTCAGTATCTAATCCTTGAAGCCACTTGGTGAAACTCAAAGATTACATGGTAACTTGACTAATAATTTAAGAGCTGCCAAAATTAAAAAAAATATAGTCTACCCTTCTCCCAAGGAAAGATCCATGAGTCACAGACCTAAAAGTGCCAGTATTTAGGCAGCAAATGTAGAAAGCACTGAGCAGAAAAATATCCAAACTCTTTCAAAACTGGTGGAAAACTGATACGTTGAAGGCGCAAAGATTTGTAGCCATCACTCACCCATGTAAGGTCCCAGCATACTCATGAATCTTGGATGGTCCAGAACAGGATTATCAATTTTCAGTGGGACAAGTTTCTTGAACAGAGGGCCATGAAAATATCCATTTTCTCTTTTCATGTTGCTGTTGATTTGTTTTATCCTAGAGACCATTAAAAACAAAGCTTTTGTGATTTAAGTATGAGGCCTGTTTGTCTTAGTAGCTTTATTTCCTTGCAAAGTTGGTTTTGGTCTTAGGTTGCAAAGTAATGGAACTGTGGCCAAGATATGTGCATGCATGTTATGATCGATGCATTGGTTAATTCATTGTAGTTTGTTACTGTTATGAAAAATATACCCTTTATCCCTGTAAGGAGGAGGATGAATTAGAGCACCTTGTGGGATTAAGAGCATGGGTTTTGAGGTTAGACAGATTTCGGTTTGAGTCCTAGCCAATCTAATCACAAGTTCCATGACCTTAGGCAAGTTTTTAAAACGTTTCTAAGAATTGGTTTCTTCATCTGTAAAATGATGATAACACAAGCTATGATGTGGAATTACAAGACAGATTTAATGAGATAATATATAGAAAGCTCTTAGTAGGGTATGAGACATATCATCAGCACTCAATAAGTAGTAGGTGTTATTTTTGTTTCTATTGCTATTGCTACCATCATCTAACTTCCATGAACTCTTATTGAATCCATATTCTCATCCAGGACACTAGACTCTTTTTATGCTTCTAGTGATTGTTTATTGGTACTTGTCAATGCGCTAAACACATGAGATGCTTTGATCATGGGAATTAAGGGTCCCAAGCCCTATGTGTGATCTCCAGGATAGTGTACCCTTCTGGTTGAACCAGTTAACAAGAGGAACAGACATGGTGAAGCATGACTAGCAGAATTACTTCAGGATAGGAAAATTAAGTCATATACAGAACACAGAAAACTGAGGGTATTCAGTAGAGAGAAAACTTGGGAGGAATATCATAGCCCCTTTCAGATATGTCAGGAGTTATAGTGTCAAATAGAGATTGGACTGGGTCAGAGTTTCTGAGTCTCAGTGCTACTGACATGTTGGGTTAGATAATTCTTTGTTAAGGGGGTGAGCTGTTGTCTTGTGACTTTTATGGTGTTTAACAGTACCACTGGCCTCTATATACTCTATATTTCAGTAGCATTTTTGGTAGTCACAACAACCAAAAGCATCTCCAGACATTGCCAGATGTCTTCTGGAGCCAAAAATCTAGGAGTCTTCTGGGAGCCAATCTCTTTGTTTGAAAACCACTGGACTAGATTAATCTTATAGAGCAGAGCAGAACTGTGACCAGTTTATGGAAATGCCACGAGGGTGCTGTTGGTTGAGCCCAAGGAAGACCTTATTACTACTACCCAGCAATTTCCCACAGCAGAACAGATGCTTCAGAGGGCAGTGAGCTTCTGGGCACTGGAGGCATTCAATCACAGGCTGATAAGCTGCTTGGGTTTTCTTAAATAGTGTTCATTTGGGGCAGATTGTTGGTCTTCATTATTTCTATCTTCCTAATTCTCCCAAACTCCCTATTCTTTGTGAAATAAATTTCTGTCATCTCAAGTGGTCTAGCCCATCCTTAGCATGGAGTTATGAGGAGAGGACTAACATGCAAAGAGGACACCAATGCTCTGATCTCAGATCATCTTCTGTTTGTGACTTGCTATTTGTGAATTGCTAAACTTCACTGGGCATAAGGATCCCAGATGCTTTCCTTTATTCCAATTCAACATTCCATGGTTCTGGAATGTTGTTTCTTAACTTAATGTCAAATCAGAAAATTTCCCTGTCACTGCTTCTTCTTTATAGTTTATGGTTTAATTGACAATCTGGAGGAATTCTCATTGACTCAGATTTAGAGATTCTGTTTGCTGAGGTGCTTAGCTCTTAAAATCTGAAGAAGAATAAAATAAAACCTCAAGGGTTTTGGCTGAAACACAGGTAGAAATTGCCTTTCACTAACAAATAAGGAACATGGTTGAGCCTTAAAACTATTTTCTGCAAAAACCCTGATGCTGTGCCCTAGAAGACAATCAATGTATAGTGATTGAATTTAACAAAATAAAGTATCCTTCCATGTAGTGGATTTTATGCCTTGAAATTTCAGTGTTTTCTGTGTCTCTTCTAGGGTTTCCAAATATTTTAAGTTTGGAACACTTTTTATTTTCTATGTAAAGCCTCTAATAGGATCATGTTATCACAGGTCCTGCTTGCCATATAGCTCACTGACCAAGTCTTTCTAATATTAGGAGATAGTATCTACATACTTTCATGTAATGCTAGATGACTATGTCTATTGCAAAGGCAACAAACTGCTTTTGAAAGCGGATAATATGTTCTATAATTGTCAGACCCATGCTTACCTCTTCCTACCAAATGAACCATTAACATCATCTTCCTAAAATGTATCCACATCTGTGGTTCAGAGATCTGCCCCATCTGATATCCTACTTGAGGAAGATCGGGCTAATAAACAAACCGAAGACGGAACCAGTACAAACACAAAGAGGCTATAGATAAAAAAGAGAGCATGGCAAGAGGAAGAAAATACTTGAACTTTTCAAGCAAGGATGCCACCCAGTTTTAGCTTTATAATAGATGGTCCGTTAGCATTTTAAAGTGACTATCAGTTAGAATAGGCTAGGTTATAATGCAGTAACAAACAACCCCCAAATTTCAGTCCCTTAACAATAAAAGGTTATTTCTTGTTTCTGGCCATCTTAAGTCTACATCAGTACTGCTCCATGTTGTGTTTACTCAACGAACCAGGTTGACAGAGCAATTTTTTTTGTGGGGGGACATTGCTGGTCATTGAGCCGAGAGAAATAGAAAGCTTGGAGACAACATACTGGCTCTCAAAACTTCTGCGTATCAGTGACACATATTTCCTGCATATTTTACTGACTGCAGAAGGTCCAGTGGCCAAGCCCCATAAATAGAAGAGAGAAATGTGATTCTCCTTCATTCAAGCTTCAATATTGTAAGTTTCCATGGCCCTTTTCCTGCAGAATTGATTACTGGTCAGAAACAAGCTGAACCATATAAACTTAAAAAATGAGAGAACACCTGTGTGTGCCCATGCATGATGCAGAATTTGGATCAGCATTTCTTAGTCTGAGGACCTTTTTTTTCCTCCTGCTGAGTTGGATGGGGAATCTGAAGCCCTGTCATCTTTCCCACAGCCCCCTGCTAACTTTGAGAGAGAAGGGACCAGCTGTGTTTCCTGATGGAGTGGGGATGGCAGCTGCAGGCTGAAACACCATGTTGTCTCATGTAGTTTCTCTGTCAGTGCATCTAGTGGATGTGCGACCACCTTGCTAACTAACCACTTGTAGAGGCATTTAAAATCCATTGTGTCTGACCTTATTACGGCAAGATCATTCCAGGAGCTGAGCATGAGTGTGTGGCACTGATGAGCTGCTGTCTAGTTAGTTTGCCTTTGTGGGCTTCTCTCTCTTTCCAGTTTCCATTGCATATGACGTGTGTTGTCAAAATTGTGTCAGCGTGAAAATCTCTCATTGACTGTAAAAGGAGAAAAAACAGGCAAATGTGGCGTGTAACTTGTCTGTATAAATATCCTATGTTGCTCCAATCCTTTGTACAATAAAACAGCTCATCCCAAAGTTCTCTTCATTGCACATTGGAACATAAATTCATTGTCATAAAACAGCAATGCCTCCTAAGTATTTGATAAGCTGCCACTGTGCAAAAGCTCCAGAGTATCCCCAAAGAACAAACTTGCAACTTCAAGACTTGATGGTGTCAAATGCTAAATGGTGTCTTGTTTGGGCAGCCAGAGGGACATAATTAGATTTGAAGTCATCATCTGTAATTTACTAAATTCATGATTTTATGATATGATTAGGCATGCTCTTCTCTGCAATGGCCTAAAAATAAGATAATGCAATGGAAACAGAATTTATTGGATATGTACACAGCCCTTGCTCTGACTGAGATGGTGCTTTGTCTAGGTCAGATTTCTTGTGATTGGCAGGAAGCTGTGACAGCTCACATTGTATGTTCCTAAGAGGAACATGGGTAGAAATGGTCAATTAGAACTGCCACTCAGCCTTTCCTCACTGTGGCTGCTGTTGGACTGCCTCTTGAGCTGTGAACTAGCTGTTAAGATGGGGAAATCCTGCTCCCCAGTGTCATTGGGTTAAGTAGGGTGATACTAGGAAAATCTTAATTGCATGCCCACATCTCTAAAGTTACAACCCAGCAAAAATGAACCAACTTAATGCTTGTGGGATAGAATTAATCATCCTCCAGTTTAGGTACAGGATAATTCTTGTGAGTGGAATATTTCTTCTCGATTTTTTCATAACCACTGAGGGACATCTATCTCTCTCTCCACCGCATAACCCTCTCCTCTGTGCACAAAATCTTCCCCAACCCTCACTACGCAAAGACACACTCCCTCCCAGAAGTATGTAAGGACACAGCCATGCATGTGATTTCTTTCCCCCTCTTTCTTTTTCCAGTGTCCTGATTTCAAGGTGAATGGGGTCAGTAGAGAGGGCAGCTGGTAGGACCCAGTCTTTAGCTGATTTCCTCCTCTAGTTGTGGGGGCTGCTGCAAGTCATTTGTCTCACCCTGCATGCCTGTTGTAATGTTGAAAAAAAAAACCAGAAGGTAAGTTCAGTCCAATGTGGGCAATTCAACACACAGGTGGGAAAGGTATACAAAAGTGTAATCAATGCCACCCTGAAGAAAGTGTCTTTGTACTGAAAGTGAGCTAAAAGAATGTTGGCTTTGGACCCAGAAAAGTAAGATTTTCTTGAAGTGGTCTTTGGAATTAAACTAACTGAAAAGACTAGGTGAGGAAAACCAGAAAATAATAGAAGAAAGTAGAGAAGAGGAGAGAGGAGAGAAAAGACAGATCATTCTGATCACAAGGGATAGGTAGAGATTAGGGAGAGAGACTCTCTTGGGGATCAAAATGATCTGGAGCTTTTTCCTACTGGATTGAGTTAAAAAGAATAAGGAAGCATCTAGATAGATTGGGCATAGAATAAGCTTGATCTAAGGAAATGGTTAACAATTAATCTTGAAGTAGACCATGAGGAAACAGAGTGTGTTGGAGTATCCTTCCACAAGTGCCCCTTTCTTCCATAAGTCACAGTCCACTCTGTAACCTCTTGGGACCCAGATGAAAACTTATGAAAAAGGGGTGTCAAAGTCAACTGGTGCTGTTGGTTGACAGCTGCCATGTGTCTTATTTTGTAGGTACTACTGAAACCATCTCCAGGTCCAGGCAGGAATGCACAGGAAGTCCTTGCCCTCCCACTGCTCATGCAAGAGGGAAAGCCTCCAGCAGGTGCACCAACCTTACTCCCTTTGGTCCAGTGTGAGATTCTCACTTCTGATAGTTCATTTTGAGCAAGAGTTTATTTTGGGTTAATTGTATCAGAACATAAATGTTTTGTCCTCTTTGATACAAATGGCTACACTGAGTACTTTGGTGGCTTATTTTATAGACTCAGACTGTGCTAAAATGGAAAAAAAAAAGTCAGGGGCTGAGTTGCTGCTATGGAATTGATTAGAAAGGAACAATGAATTTAGATGAGACAGAAAAATGTGGGTGAAGGATCCTGGTACTAGTCATGTGAGTCATGTGGTTGTGGCCATCATTTAGAGCCGTTAGAATTCAGAAAGAGTCGGGCTGCTCAGGGATGGGCCTTGGAGGTAGAAAGATTCATCCTGGGCCTTGAAATATAAGGAGGGATCTGCAGAAGGAGGAAGGCCAGGAAAGCATCCTATATTAGGCCAAGGCAATGTTGCTAAAGGATTTTATGAATTATATTTTGGAACTCTCTCTTCCTTCTCTTCTTTTCTGCTTCACTACCCATCAGAAAATATACCCTCTTGCCATTTAATGAACTTTTGATATGTTTTTTTAACCTGTCAAGTTTATGAGGGGGAAATTCCATGGCAATTCCTTATAATTTATAACACACTTTGCTCAGCATGTAACAAGCATGTTTTGAGGTTCTGCAGTATAACTGACAATGCTGTAAACACTGGAAATCAGGAAAAGAGGTTCACATACTCATTTATGTCTATTAAGTAGCTGCAAGTAAAAATCATGAGAAGAAAGCACTGAAGAAAGCAGGCACAAGCCTGCCCTCATGTGGCTTCCATTTCAGTAGGCATGGAGACAATACAGAAATCCACACCAAGGTGTGTAAGACAGTAATAGATCATAGCCAGTGTTATGCGACCATTATCAAAATCCAGGAGAATAAAGGAGGAAAGATTATAAAGGACTTCTTCAGCTCTCAAGCGGGATGTTGCTTTAATATTCCACTAAGCCTACTCATGATAGGAAAGAGGTAATTTCCCCAAAGAAACCCAAGAGTTATCAAAAAGAAAAGAGATCCAAGATAAAAAATATAAAAATAAAATTACAAATATCAGCTAAAATATGCTAGACTGGGCTATTCGAATGTGTAGGAGTGAATTTCATGTACTTTATTTGTATTTTGCTGTGAAGTCATTGATGGTGCCCCATTCAATATTACCACCTCCAAATGTGACTCAATTCAATCCTGGAGCTCATAGAAATTGCCATATAAAAATGACATTTCATTTTGGTCAAGATCTTAGGTAAATTCTGCAATTTTCTGAACCGGCTTTAGGAGATATACAACCAGAGGTGAGGTGGCAGAGCAGTACTTTTGTGAACAGTCCAGAGAAAGATCTTTATTCTGCCTATTTCCCTGGGTGAACTCAAGCAGAAAGCTTGCCCTGGCGACCTGCACTGAACACACAATTTTGTCTGGGATAATTTCTTTGATATCAAAGAACTAAGTTTATATAAGCCTAAGCCACATTGCAAACAATGGTACTTCCTGGATGAAGCATGGGTAATTAGCTGTGAGAGTCATGGTTGTTTGGCCCCTGAATCGTATTGATGTTTCAAGACATAGTATAGAAATCCACATAGTTTTCATACCATAAAAGGTTAGCCTTTTAATGAACATCTTATCTGGGAAGTCCAGCTACAGTGTATTTCTAGAACCTCATAATGATTGCATTTACTTTATGTTTTGGTGCTCTTCAGCTGAAAAGCAAAAAAAAAAAAAAAAAAAGAAAAGAAAAAAAAGCCTGAAGTAAAATGTCAGGTTAAAGTTCTGTGGTATGACCAAAGCAAAAACGACTGCAGTATTGTCACATGTGCATGAACTGCAGAGCAAAGACACTCAATTATTTCTCATAAATATTCGGCAAAGTCTCTGAATTTTCCTTGAAGTGGCAGCAAATCCATGACTGGGAGGTCTTCTGTTCCCCAGCTGCTTACGAGCATTGTTATGGCTGGGCATAAATTATAGAAGTCAGGATTTCAACCATGGTGGAAAAGTCTATAAAGATTTCTGTCCCCTATTAACTACCGTGTGACCAAGAGGTTTATGAATGGCGTTAAAAGTTCTAAACAGGAACAAAAATGTGGTAAATGCCCTCAAAGGCATTACGTGGAAATTTCTTCACAGTCGTGGAGACCAAGCAGAGGGAGAGAGAAAGAGAGGAAATTTAAACAAGCTGCACACATAAATGACGCTAGGAGAGAAGGAATAAAAACTCCGCAGGTCTTCCAAGAGCTGGCAGGGGCCACTCGCCAGTCATAGCAAACAGGAGTGCTCTTTCTGCGCTAAGTAAATAAACTTAATTGTACGTTTGTAAGACCACGGAAGGTCTAAACCAAGAATTTTTTTCCAGGGTCTGAAATATCTCCATTAAAAGTTCATAGACATGAGAGCTGTCTCTTTAAAATCAATACCAAACTGGCTAGCAGTTGTAACTGCTCAGAACAGAACTAAGGGGAAAGCTGTTAAAAAATATGGTTTTTATAAACAAACTTGACATTGCAAACTTAATACAAAACCCTATGCATGTAGCATCTCTTGTGTGTACAACTTGTTTAAATTACAGCTGCAGGAAAAAGGAAGTAAAATCGGCATATTAACCTTTTGTTTAACTATTCTTACACACTATATTTTGAAGTAAATGGTGGTGTCTCCCGAACCTTCCAAAAGTTAAGAATCTGTCAGCAGTTTCTCCTGAAACTTTTTATGCATATTTTTGAAAATCCAGCTCTAAGAATGTGCTCTATACAAAAAATATATTTTCTGCATACTTACCTGCAGTGTCAATAAATTCATTGTACTGCATTGAACTTACAGAAACATTGTAAACAATAGTTTACTAAGGTTCTTCCTTCCCCTTGGTACTTACAGATTGAAAAGAGAAGTGGTTTCTTTTTTCTCTGGAAATTTATTAACCAATATTCTCTCACTCCAATTCAATCTCCTTTGGTATTTGAAGAGAAACCGCAAAACACTAGTTGTTAATATTGTTTTAAGCCTCACCCTCTTGCTTCATTGTATCTTTGGTCAGATCTGCTTTTGATATGCCACTTTGCAAGTTTAATTAAAATCATAACAGCTCAATCCTATGAGTTTGGACAACATTGGATATCAGCACAGATTTCAGGAATTATGAAAGAGACATAAAATCTCTCTTAAAATTGAACAGTTGGTTTAACCAATAATGTAACCTGAAAAGTCTTTTTCTTAAACACATAAATATTTAACATGACTCAAATGCAGTTGCTCTTGCTACAATCATTCCAAAAGATCATGTATTGGTATTGTGAATGCTGTTCTGAATGACACGGTTTCTGAGTTTGGATCACCTTTCTTGTGCAAGAAGTCAGTTTGGGTGTGCTTTCAGAATGACCTAAAACACGTTGCCTCTCTCTGCTCCTGAAAATTCCATCTGATGGTTTGTCACCTACGGCCTACTGCATTCTTAAGCTTACAAACATTTTTAAGTCTTTTAGATGTGCCACAGGATTTTATTTTTGATGATAATGTTTATTTGTGTGTAGTCCTAATTGCTGAAGCCATCAGACTACAGCCATATTAGTGTTTTGCCCCTTATGGTGGAAGATGGTTAAGGATGGCCTGGTGCAATTTGAGCTTTGGAAAAGATTTATCAGATGGAATGATTTTGAAAAGATTTGATCATTATCTTGGATGTGGAACATATAGTTCTTTCTGCATGATTTATCTTAAGTGATTAACTACTGTATTGCTTATTTCCACAGTGCATTCTATGATCATCCTGAAAGCATACAGGGTATACTTAGTTCTACTCTATTAATTATATGGGGTATTTTCAAATCTTTCTTCTATTGTTTTGCTATTAAGGATTAACTAAACATTTTCTTTGGCCAGTTATTACTTTGTAAGATTGTGGCATTACCCTGTTCAGAGCCCCCTTCTTATCCCCAGGGGAGGCATATTTTGGAATATATAAAGTTATGCCTCTAAAATATTAAGAAGAAAACCTCTAACTAAAAATACAATATGATTTCAACCACAAAGAAGATGTTAAATTTCACTTTGACATGATGAGTTTTACACACACCCACAGAAGTCTGATATCGGGAAGTGAACTAAGGACAGGGTATCTGTTTTAGCTCTAACTATTGCTGGAATTTGTGGGATTCAACCAAACCCCAAATGCTAGAAGAACATCTCTTCAGATTTAAATTGCGATGAATAAACTCTCATTTGGTTTATACTCAAATATTTTGTTTTCTTCCTCGCAAGTTTCTTAGTAGCTGTAGAGATGCTGGCAGAGGGAAAAGAAAGCTTTATGTGAATGTGTTCTATTCAGAAATTTTCCTCAATGATCACTGCCAAGGTCTTTAAATTTGCTGTTCGTAAAAATTGAGACCTGCATTATAGTCAAGGCTGGGGCAATAATTAACTTCTCTCCTCTATACCAAATAAAATTAGGCTTGGCTTGTAATTTACTTGCATTAAGAAACCAAGGAGAGAACTTGTTCTACTTATCACCAATCTTCTCATTGGATAGTTTAGGACGTCTATAAATTCAATTTGATGAGTTCAAACAGAATTTCATATGTGCAGAAGAATAAAATATCATCACCTGATTGTTGCCTATCTGACCTTGAATGTAAAATGGGTGTTGAGCCATAATTTTTGGACCTCTCATTTGTGCCACATAATGAACAGTCAGAAAAGATTTATTTTGAGAGACATTTCAGGAGTACCAGTTTGAACCACATTAAATTATTTCCTATTTTCTATACTTACCACCTTGCAAACACTGCCAGAGCTTCAGGGAATATTTTTCTACTTTTCAATGTCAACAGAAAATTGAGCCTAGCACAGGTATCTATGCTGATAGCCCATGTTGGATCCAGGGCAAAATGTTTTCAAAACTTTAGTGATTGTGTTGCACGAGTATGCTTTATGTTAACTCTCACCGACTCACAGCAGCTGATGATAGCTTCATGAAATGTGATCTGCTACTTATATTCCAAGGAGATACACTTCTACAGGATCTACCTCTGGGTAGCTATTTTCTTATTCTCCGCCTTCCTGTTGGAGAGTGACACCAGCAGTAATTAAATTTGAAAACATATTGTCATTCTGACTCTTGTTTTTAGGAACCTGTTAAATTCCAAAATA